TAGGGCAAATGAATAAGATCTTGTCTCAAATTTAAAAAATAAAAAGAGCTGTGATGTAGCTCAGCTCGCACCAGTGGGGAGGAGGAAAAGGCAAGGAGAGAGACAGAGACAGAGAGAATGGGTGGAGGACGCATCTGGATAGTGTGCCGGTGTGGATTCCAATTTTTGTTTATCTTTAGATGCAGTAGAAAATTCAGTAGTTGGATTATTCTTTCTCTTTTGGTAGGATGTGGCGATCTGACTCCAAAATGTATTCGAAGCACCAAAGAGCTGGAATAGCTGAGAAAGAAACTCCTAAAGAAGTCAAGGAGAGGCCAAGAGTGGTAGCACAGGGCTCTAATCTTAGCATCCTGGGAGGCTGAGCAGGAGGATCACAAGTTCAAGCCCTGCCTGGCAAAACTTAGTGGCTTAGACCCTGTTTGAAAATAAAATATTTAAAAAGGGCTGGGAATGTAGCTCAGTGCAAAGGCTCTGGGTTTAATCCCAAGTACCACACACACACACACACACACACACACACAGTGTCAAGGAGAAGAATTATCCAATCAGACATCAAGACTTATTAAAAATGCTATAGTACTTAAGATAATTGGTACTAAAAAGGAACAGACAAATGAGCCAAACATAATGAGTTCAGAAGCCAGCTCATATATATTTAGAAAAGTGACAAAAGACAAGTGATATAGTCAATATATGGTATAGGGACAAAGGTCTCCCATACAGAACTGTGCCTTTTCCTTACACAATATGTATATATGAACACACACACAAGTTTTAGATTTTAGATGAGATAATACTTAAGCATATAAGTCAAAACTTTGAAGTTGGGCTGAGGGTGTGGCTCAGTGGTAGTATGCATGCTTAGCACAAGCAAAACCCAGGTTTCCATACCTAGCATCAAAACACAGAACAATGCAAAAGAAAACACTGTACGTCTCTTAAAAGAAAACATTGGTAGGTATCATTATGAATTCTGGATACAAAAGGGTTTTATAAACAAAACACAACAGCAAAAAGGAATAGACTGATAATTTCAACCATGTTAAAATGGAGAATTTTTAGTCACTAAAAGTCAGCCTGAAGGGAGCAGAAGGTACAGGCTGTAAGAAATGATGCTTAGCCAGTAAAAAGGAATACTATTACAAGTGTGTGCTTGTAATTCCAGCACTCGGAGAGGCTGAGGCAGGAGGGTCACCGTGAGCTCAAGGCTAGGTTGGGCTACACAGTGAGTTCAAGGCCAGCCTGAACCACCTAACAAGACCTTGTTTCAAAAATAAAAAAATAAAATCCACTAAATCATTAAGAAAAACACAATAGGAAAATAATCAAAAGGTGCAAAGAGGTATTTTACAGAATAGTAAAGCTGAATGGCTGCACCAAGGTGGTACTGGTGGGGGTACGGCCCTTGCCCAACATGTGCAAGGCTGTGGACTCCATCCCCATTGCTGATGAAAAAGAAGAAAGGGAGAAAGAAAGAAAGAAAGAAAGAAAGAAAGAAAGAAAGTGGCAAAAATTTCCCAGAGAAAGACATGATTTGCAAAAAAAAAAAAAAAAAAAAAAAAAAAAGTATTTAACTGGTATTTAACATCGCTTATCATTAGGAACACACAAGTTAGAACATACTAAGGTGCTGCTCCATGCCTAATAGGACGGTTAACATCGGAAGAAAAACATGAAATGTTTGGTAGGAATATGAAGCAAACTGAGTAGTGAGCTGAGGATACACTGGGGCCCTTTCTTGTCAAATGAAGCATTTTTGGTACGTGATGCAGCAATCTCACCCTTGGGTGTTGACCCGTATTTTTGTGTGGGAGTCTATGGGAAAGCCTATACATAAAAGTGTTCCAGTAGCTGTATTCATAATTGCCAAAAACTGAGAACAACTGAAATGACCAGAGTGGACTGGGGAGGCAGGTGCGCTAACACATTCCTCAGCGTAAGGGTAGGAGACATCAGTGAATTTCAGATGAGTTATGTCATGTGGAGGAAAGTTCTGGCTACTGTAAGCGCCCAGGTGTATGACATTCCGGGAAAGGCACACATCAACACTTGCCAAACCTGAGTACTGGGGAGGAGATTCTCCCCAGAGGGGTCATAGGAACTTTTTCTGGTGATAAAACTGCTCTCTCTCTCTATCTCTCTCTCTCTCTCTCTCTCTGTCTGTCTGTCTGTCTCATTTTTATTTTTAAATTATTTATTTATTTTGATGTTGTGGCTGGAACCCAAGGCTCCAGGCATGCTAGACAAGGGCTCTGTCACCAAGCCACAACGCTGTCCACCTTCTATATCTTAATCATAGCAAAGCTGAGTTTTACTGCATACAGGTGACGCCTAGGAATGGGGTGTGGCTCAGGGTCAGAGCATGTGCCCAGCAGGTACAAGAACTAGTTTCCATCCCTAGGACCACAATAAAAAAAGAAAGAAAGAAAAGGTGCTTCATCCATCCTGACTTTTTAAGCAAAGCATCATGCACATCCCTGAGCAAAATAACTATCAGAAAAACAAGTTACTTCTAAGAGTGCTCAGTTCAGCAGGAATGGAGAGAGATGCAAGGGATCTCCAAGGCTGTTAAGGAAGAAACAGAATGGAAATGGATCCTTGCTGTGGGGCTAACAGAAAGGGATCCTGACAGTGGGATTCCGTGATCCAGGAGAAAGAGTTGGAATCCTCACCCTGCCCCTGGCGTGGACTTGGGATTGTCAGTCTTCCCTCACCCAGGATGGCAGGCGCAGAAACTCTGAGCAGTGAGGAGAAGGCAGACCCTGCTCCCTGACTCCTAAGCTTCACTGAGCGGCTCAGCCGGTCAGGTGGAGGAGGTTGTCCTGAGCTGTTCCCTGCTCCCTGCCCTTGGCGGTCAAAAAGGCAACTGGCACAGTACAGAATGGTGACCATGCTGATCTCCCATCTGACACAGGACAAATAACGTCAGCCAGTACTTGCTATGAGGAAAGAAAAGTCCTTGAACATACGGGATCAAGAGCCTGGGCAAGCCTGAAGTCCATGCTGGTTTTTCGGATGCTTGACCTAGGGCAAGTTTCATAGCCTTTTGGGATCTCTATTTCCTGGATTTTAAAAATGAGCCTAATTGCCCCTGCTTAGCTTGCAGAACTGATTGCCAGTGTGCTATGGTATGTCTTGACATGGGGAGGTACAGCAATAGATAAGGCCAGGGAAAGCTGGAGATTCCTGGGAAGACGGGTTCATCACAGCACAGCATTATGTGAGTGCCCCAAAACTTCTGCTCAAACACTGGACTGCAGCTGTGGGCCAGCTGGATGGGACCCCGGTGGGGAGCACTGACAGTGTATCCAGCTGTCCACATCTGAAGGTAAGTCCTGAGGGGTTAATCTTTTTCTTTTCTTGAGGACTGTGTACCCTGGATGGCACTGGCTATCTATAAGAATGCTAGAGGGAAACAATAAAAAGCTGCAAAATTAAATTTGTGACAGTGCTGGATGATGATAACTGGGATGCCCATTGCCACAGAAAGACACGGCCACTTCAGGACCAAAGTCCTCTTTCTCCAGGCCAGTGCTCTGGGCCTTCCCTGGGACCCCATTTCCGGTATTTCTGATGCTCAGCTGGCTGTGTGTTTTGCAGAAAGCCCTTCAGGTGAGTTCCAGCAGAGGCTGGATGCCTGGGAGTCGTTCTGTCTTCAGGGTGAACGAAAGCTCTGCTCCGAGGAAGTGGACTTCCACGGTTTCACTCTCCAAGGGCAGTTCCGTTCTTTCATTTCCACATTCCTGGGGCAGAGTATATGGGAATGGGGGCCTCTTGCTGCCTGATGCATGTGACATCCACCCACAGACTGTTTTCAAGATCATTCTCTTGTCTAGTTAAGGGGTGTATTCATTCCTTGCGTAATTTGTTTAAAGAGCCCTTTGTGAGCAGAAGTGTGTGAGTGTGTGAGCATATGTGTGCACATATGTGTGTAGGTATGTCCAGCATTGTGCAGGGTTCTAGTGCAATGGCATTTAACCACTGTGCTGCTGGAGGGGTTTCTGTTGGTGGGGCTCTGACCACTTGGCACTCCGTACCCTTTACCTAAAAGCGGAGGTCCCCTCCGAGTGTGTGGTAAGAATAGAAAAGGAGTCCCTAAGACCACAGTCACCAGGCCCCATAGTGGGGGGGACAAGCTGGGGAGTTTGGTTATGCAGTTAAATCACTGACACATGTATTTCACCCAGTTATTGCAACCACCCTGCATGGTTGATAATATATATGATCTCCATTTTACAGAAAACAGAGCAGGGCTCAGAAAGGTTTAAAAACTTGCTTGGCTTCACACCATGAGTAACAGTGATGGCTGGATCCAAGTCCGGGTCTTCTAACTCTGCATAGATTCATTTCTACTTCCTGTCACCCCTGGAAACAGTAGCATCAGCCCCTTAGGGATGCTGCACCCACAGGACAGCCACGGAGCCCTCCCTTCTGCTCTTCCAGATGTGACCTCCAGACCTGGCAACAGTGTGCAGGATCAACGTCTGTCCCTTTGGGACCTCAGAGCAGGAAAGGTCCCAATGTGCCTTCATCTCCTCTCTGCCCATGAACCACGACTTCTCCTTCACATGGCCGGGCTTCCTCAGTGTCTCAGATTCCCTGTCCTTTCACTGGAAGCAAGCAGTTAACTCTTGTTCCCCGCTAGACTGGAGATGAATGAAAGCCCATTCATGGCCCTGCCAGAGTCTCAACACCGCGACACCCACAGTCCATGAGATCCACGGGACATTGCTCGTGTGACTTGGCTCCTACTCCATGCTCACCAGTTCTGTTTTTCAGATCCGCAGCATAGATCTGGGAACAGTAAGGTGAGAATAGATCTGAACTGACGAAGTGATGACTTCTCCTCTGCGGGCTGAGAATATTCCCTGCCATTGGATCAGGCTTCCCAAATGACCACATACCTAAAAGCTAGAAGTGGTATTTAAAATATTTTGTCCTTTGCCCATGTGTAGCACATGCTGAACACATGGTAGATATCAAACTTTTTACTCTGTACATCAGCTCAGGACAGAAATGGACAAATGAAGGGGAAAGAGGTTGGCTGAATAATACCAGCTGTTACAAAATGGTGTTTGGAGTGTGAAGACCATTGAGTCTAGTGGGGAAAAGAGGGTCCAGGGTACTCAGGTGTGAGGTAGATGGCAGGTCAGAAGCTGGGTCTGATAGGGTTTGAATCTAAGCTCTGCTACTTAAACGTTGTGTGATCTTGGCCAAGTTCCTTGACCTCTCTGTTCCCTCTAACACCTGTAAAAAGATGAATTCCTACCTCTCAGGACACCATGATAATCTGATAATACAATTAGGGTTACTGCTTGGTGTAGTATAGACTTTTGAAAAGATAGATAGAGAAGGAAGAGGTGATCTGGAGGTGTGTCCAGTGTCACCCTCTGCTGGCTTTGTGACCACCTGTAGTTCACTGCCGAGCGGGGATACCCTGGAGCCCCACTCAGGTTGCTGATTGCTCTTGTGTCTGAAACAGATGGCTTCAGCTGTCTGTTGGGTGGCAGGGTGGGGCAGTCCCTAGAAGATGTCCAACACGAAGGTGGGGTGGGGTGGAGACAGGAATGCATGTGCAGAACTCAGCTGAACCGTTGGTTTATTTCGAGGTTGCAAGACCTTCAACCATCTCTTCCTATGAGCCCCCACCAGCAGGGAGGAGGCCCCCAGCCCGGAACAGATGTTTCCTCTCTTTGACTCTCGATGGATGCCTGGTGACACGGGGGATGGGTAGGGAGGAAATGAAGACAGTAAAAGAGGCTGCTTGGTGAACCCATCCCTCCCCCCTGGGGCTCACTGTCCTGGAGTCCCTGAAGTTCTAGGAAGCACTGGGTAGATGTTAACTGCGCAGGCAGAGTTAGAGTCCAGGTCAACCAGGAGCAGCCATGTGGGATGGCCAATTCCCTGGAGGAGCTCCCTCAGGAGGGAGCCAGAGAAAAAGTCTAAAAGGCAGAGATGGAGTTTGAGAGAATTTCAGTAGCTCCACCTTCCCCAGCAGGACCTCTAAGGGCATCATTTTTCTGTCTATAAAATGGGGAGAATGATGCTTGTTGATGACTCCTTCTTTTCACAAGAGGACTTCATGAGTAATAATCATCATGACAGCGCTTTGCAAAGGTGCAGGATCAGCGAGAATGTGACTTCCTGGGGCATCAACAGCACAGGGGATGTTGGCTATGGGCTGGGAAAGTACCTAAGTGCCCTTCCACCTGCTGTACTCACAGAGGGACCTCGATGGTGGGGACAGGTGCACCCCTCCAAGATTACTGTGAGATCACTATGGGTGCCCCATAAGCATTTCTTGGCTACAGCCTAAAACAACTGAACACTGGGGTTTAATATGTCCTGCTCTAATTAACCACATCAGGAAATGTGCTTTAAGTCCTGAGACAGGGCCTCTCTCTCCCACAAATGCCTGTGAGGTCCCAGGAAATCAGGAGGAGGCTGAGCTGGGTACCCTTTTTTTTTCTGGTAGGTATCCCAGTTTCTAACTAAAAGCAAACTGTAAAGGCAAAGGAGGTGCCTCTGACCCACCTGAGGTTTGCAAAGCCAAGCAGAGTTGGTGGCATCTTTACCACGATGTTGCCAGCAGAACAGAATGCTCTGGATTCTAGAGCCTCTTCCTGGAGAGCCACCTACCATGTCCCATCTTGCACACTGTGCCCAGGGAAGCCCTCTGAGGTATTCCCTTAATCACCATAGAAGCCCTGCAAGGGGATACTGTTGTGACCACCTCTATTTTACAGATGAAGAAGTATGCTCACAGCTACCCTGGGCTTTCTGAAAGCCTGGAAGTTGTGCTCCTAGGAATCACAGAGGTAGCCAGGGACAGGTACCTTGTGGCCCACTGAAGTGGGACCCAACTAAACAGCAATGATTTTCTCTCCAAAGGGAGAGCCTTGTTGTGTTAGACCTGAGAACAACTCCTGTGCTTTACTTTGACGCCCTCCCAGCACCCAGGGCTGACTCCATTACCCCTAGCAAGACAGGGCTAGACGAGAGGACCTTTGAGGGATGTGGAGTGGAGGATGTGTATACCTGTGCATGTGTGCACGTGTGCGTGTGTGTGTGTGTGTGTCTGTGTGTGTGTGTGTGTGTGTGTGTGTGTGTGTGGTAGGGGGAAATTTAGAGAAGTGAGTATTATTTTTTATATGCATTTCTTTCTTATGTTTCGTTTTGCCCAGAAAGCCACAGACAGTGTTTGGCAGTTTCCTGAAGATGGACTTCATATTTTGAAAGAGGAAAAAAAAAAAAGATGGGGGGGGGAGTAGAAATTGGGTAAGAAATAAGACAGAAAGTAATCGCTGCTCTCATGCAAGCACGTGCACACACACCCCCTCCACACACGACTCTTGGCAATAAGGAAGTGAGACGAGATCTTTTTCATGAATGGCTTAACTCAGCCTTGCTGAGCTTCCGCTCTCCCATTCACCAGCATTCAAATCTCACCTCTGACCGTCCAAGGCAGCTGGCTGCTGGCCCAGGAGCCAGGCACAGTTTGAGATCATCCCCCTGACCGCAGGCAACTGTGCATACAAGAGCCTTCTCTGCAGCCCGGGTAAATCTAGAGTGACCAGAATGTTTACAGAGCACCGGGCTGGAGAGGGCACAGGCCCTGGACCCCCCCACCCTACCCCTACCTCCTGCTCCTCTGCTCTCCTGGGACCATGGTTTATCCCCGGGGAAGCTCAGATGTTCTGGCAGGCCCTGTGTGCAGTGAAAATACTGTACGGGCTGCACAGGACGCAGCCTGAGGAGCTCTCCAGAGAATGCTAATGCTGCCTGCAATTAGCTGAGGGAAATGACAGCATTTTGGAGAGGAAGTTTTAGGGTCCTTCCCCTGGGGGATATCAGGCAATTAACTAACTGTGGCATGGCAGCCAGGCCTGGGATTCCCGGGGCAGTCGGGCAGCTGAAAGGCTGCTGGAGGACCTTGAGCCTGTGATTTCATTTTGCTGTGTTTCAGTGTCCTCATTCATAGAGATGCGATAACAAAACCTCCCCACCGCGTTGCTGTGAGCATTCAATGATCTGAGGCGGAAGATGGGGGTCCCTGAGTGATGGGCCTGTGGCTGTCTGCCACTACTCAGGAAGAGAAGGACTGGCTGTGCCTCTGAGCTCCCAGGAATGGTGGCTGTCACAGATAGGTCTCCCAGAAGTGGGAGAGAGGCCATGGGAGGTAAACAGGGATACCCTAGAAGGAGGAAGACAGAACCAAAGTATGTGGGGCTAAGTTCTCCCCCACCATCCCATCTCCTGCAGCCTCTTCTAGTGGGAGACCAAGAGGATGCCACTTTCCCATCCCCACCCTGCCTGGCCAGCCCTCTCACACAGGCTTCCTGGTCCTCCTCACCCTTGGTTGCAGGATGATCCCTGCACACCCATATCTTGTGATGTTTGGGCTCCAGGCAGGGGCATGGATGAACGACCCTTGGAGTGCTTCCCCACTTCCGGGTTGGGAGTCCTCCCCGGAGGCCAAGTCCAGGGCAGGGGCCAGCAGCTGCATCCAGCTCTTTGCAGCTGCTGAGCTGCTGGGCCCAGCTCTGGGCATTGGGAGTGGACTCGGAAATACCAGTGGGCTTTGTTTGGGCTGATTACTCACAGCAAAGGAATGATATCCATTCCGCTGGACTTTCTAGGAACTGTTTGCAGCTGGAGCCATCCCTGTCCCGAGGTCCCCTCACTGGTAGCCAGGCTGCAAGTGGAGGCCTGGCCACATTGAGGGAAAATGCAGCTTTCAGGGTTGCAGGTGGACACCAGGAGGGAAGAGTCAGGCCCAGGGTCCTCCTGTGGCTGGTAACTGGGGACAGCTTGCTTTCTGCTCTCCTGGCCTCCTCCCGTTCCTTGTCTTCCTCAACTCCTTCACAGAGCAGAGGAGAGAGCAGAATGCAGGACAGCAGAAGTGATGGATATGAGCAGAGGCCAGCTCCTTCATCGAAGGGCTGCCTTACCCTAACACCCCCAAGTCACCGTGCCTCTGGACAATGCTGCAGAGGCTTTATCTCCTTGCCACCTCCTAGTAACCCTGTTGCCTGGGCATGATCATTGTGCCCTGTTTACAATAAGGAAATGAAGCCTTAGAGTGATCAGGAAGTTATTTCAAGATTATGCATTTAGCAAATGGCAGTGCTGGGAATCAAGTCCATTCCAGCCCAGTTATGAAGCATGAGGATTTAACTGCTACTCTGTTTTCATGCGTAGTTTATTAGCTCAACTTTGGTGTAACCAAAGGTTACGTGCTCCCTGAAGGTAAAGGCAATCTCTTATTTTCTTTGCTATTTATTTCTCCAGTGACCAGGAACACATTTTCAAAAGCAGTTGCTAGAATGTGCTGAGATGGGGGACAAGGCTCTGGTAGCAGAAGGGACCCTCCTGCTCCTCTGGGACCTTGCACTCGGCAGCAACATCTCTTCCACCCTACTGAGCTGCCCCATGCAGTGCTGACCTCTGCAGAGCTTGGTCTGCTGTGGGCTGCAGTCTGGCTTGCTCTCTGTGCTGCCTCTGCAGCCCTGTTCCTTATCTTTATTGTTGCAACCACATGAGTACATGTTTTGCTTGTGAATGGAGTTAGTGTGTTCCTTTTCTGTGCCACACTTGTGTTTCCCCAAGGGTTCCTTGGCTGTGTTCCTCTCTGAGCTTCTGGGTTGCCTCACACACGGCTTTACCATCACATCCCCTGAGAGAAACTCAAAGGACTTGGCCCACCCAAGCCAGAGACCCTGCTCCTCAGCCTCAGGGTGCTGGGTCCTGCAGACAGGGCAGGGCCCATCTCTGGTCCAGGATGCTGTGGCCAGTGTGGCGGGGAATGAAGATCCTGATCTCGTTAAAGAAATCTCTTACCTTTCCTCTTTAGAGATAGCTGTGGTACATCTATGCATACGTAAATTACAGTAACTTAACATAGAAAGAACACAAGAATGACGGGTACAGCTGAATGAGTTTTTCATGTGACTTTAGTAATGTAATCCCCAGCAAGCCAAAGCATAGGACATGTCCCATGCCCAGGCAGGTTCTTGCTGGTTCTTGCTGGTCCTCCACAGTACCTTCTTTCTTCTCTTAGACTTTTCTCTTCTGTTTTCTTTGCTATGCTGGGATGGTACCCATGTCCTTGCACATGACAAGCACTCTATCATTGAGCTACATTCCTAAACCCTAATCCTGGACCAGATTTCAGATTAGATTAAATAAAATACTTAGAACCACATCTAATCTAGAATTGTTTTGCTATGTGGTGCAGATATAGTGTACTCACTATGTAACACAAGCTGACCTCAAACTCACAGCGATCCTCCTGCCTCAGCCTTGTGAGTGCCGGATATAGGCATGTGCCACTGTGCCTGGTAAATGCTAATATTAACATCATTGCCATACTAATTATGGTTTTTTAAAAGAGATAAAACAATACACTTGTGACAGTACTACTGTGAACCTTACTACGAACAAACTGACCCAGGAGTGTTGGGGTATAGAATTAGGAAGCAGCCTCTAGCTGCCATCAGTAACCATGTGTCTAGGGCAAGATGGTGCCCAATGGGCTTCACAGTCTTCAGCTGTTAAACCTGGTGCTCAGTCTAAATGACACCGTGCCCCACTTCAGCTCCAACATTTTCCAAGTATGGGTTTGCTCTGTGGCCTGGAGAAGGCTAAAGACAGGATATGAAGGGTCCTGGGGGAGCTGAGCCCAGAGGTGAGGTGGTGCTCGTGGTACCCAGTGGCAGTGACATTGCAGAGGTTCTCACTACAACCTCAGAGCGATGTGAGCCTAAATGAGCTCCCCGATAGACTTCCACTTCAGGGGGGACACACATGGGTCATAGTCAGAGCCAAGTCCCTTCTCTCAGCTGTTGGACTCCACAGGCCACAGAATTTCAATCCGCTCAGGCAGCTGTGCCGATAGCTGCAGGGTCCGGGTGGTCTCGGTTGACCCTCCAGCTGCTGAGGCAAGGGTGGGGCGGGGGGCTGGCGCTGGCTGCCTCAGGCCTGCAGCTGTTCACAGCACTGCGGGAACAATAGTTGACTTCCAGGACAAGAATGCGTCACAGCTGATTTTTTAATGCAGAAAATTACTTCAGGTTGACTTATAAGCTTATCCAAATATATTTTCTGGAATATAAAATAGTCAAAAAGAGTCCAAAATGGTGTCCCCCAGAAAGATTCAGTAAATGTTATCTCTTATTACTAACGTCAGATCTCATGGAACTAGGAGATTAAAATAATAACACAATCTAAACTCTACTAATCCCTCCAAGGTCAGCGCAGATCCTTTTCCTCTGGGAATTCCTTCCCAGCTCCTCAGCCTCCATTCATCTCTATCCTTCACTTGTCCATTCATTCACCAAGTATTTTTCGGTGTTTGTGAGCTGTAGGGGCTGAATATAACATGACAAGCAACACAGGCAGAATCCCTGCACTTATGTAGATTTTACACTCTGGTGTGCAGAGGTACATAATTGACAATTTAAAATATTTTTAAAGACAGTATTCTTCTTGTCAAATATTTACTTAGCACCTACTGTGCACCAGATAGTTTTCAGGACAAAGGATGTCCTGTTTATGACCATTAATCATGGTGACTGACATGTTGGTCAGCAAACTGAGGTTTCCTTATCTGGAATGTGGTGGCACCAACCAATAGGTTGTAGCCTGGTGGGATAAAAAGGGAAAGAGGGGAGCATTTGCATTTGAGGACAGTTTCCATCTTCTTCATCTCCTGTGGTGCAGTCTCTTTAGCTTTCTAATAGAGGTGTGCAACCAGCGGCTCTACAGTGAGCTTTCAGACCTTAGAACTTGGGTGGAGCCGCGACCTTGAGCCTGCTCATCCTCTGTGGCCTGCATCTTCTTGGGTCAATCGTCCAGCTCTCCCACATACAGACAGCCAGTGTGGATGCTTCTGACTCTGACCGCACAGATGGCCTTACGAGATCTCCCACCTCTGATCCGGAAGCCTACTTAACACAGTCCCTGGCGTAATTATGTGCACATCTTCTATTGAATGTGTTCCTCCAGACAGCACTAACCAATCCAATGTTAAGACAGGCAAGGTTTCTCAGTTTAACAAGCTTTCCTTTTAGTGGAGAGACAGCCAATAACTGAACAAAAGAAGAGAAAAATTGAGGAAGACTAAGTATTGGAGGATGATGAGGGTTGTATGCCAGGGGTAAAATGGAAGAGGAGAGGGTACCTCATTGAGGGAATTAATGTTCATAATTTCCAGAAAATACAACTTGTGACCCACCCTTACCTGGAGAAACATGCCTGCCACACTGATTGCTTCCTGGACTGGCTGACCTGGACTGGTAATCCTCTGTGACCTTGACAGCCTGACCTCAATCTAAGAGTGTCTGACACTCAGCCATACAAGCCATTTGCTGTATTGGAGGGATTTCTTAGCTGACTTTAGCAGGGAATAGGTAAAGCTGCTTTTTCATTTGAACGAAGATACTTCTGAAATGTCTTGTTCACAAGCGTCCTGAACTGGAGGCTCGTGATGCAGAGGTTTGGGGTGCAGGTGGTAGAAGGTGACTGACACGAGAGGCAGCAGGAATGAGATCCAGAAAAGATACTAGAACAAGGTGATTTCCTCCCAGAACACAGCAGCCCAGGAATTGTGGGCAGGCTCTCCCACCACTGACCTGGGGTATGGTCCTTCCCGCTGTACCAAGACTGTCACTTTTGAACACTTTTCTCATCACTTTGAGGTTTACAAGATAAAAATGAAAATACCACTATCTTTGAGAGTGAACAGAAAGAGCAAAATTGGATGCCTTGTCCTTGGTGACTAAATATGTTGAGAAAACCAGGACTGCTGAGGTCTCCTCCTCCAGGCCCTTCACTCTTCCACCTGACTGGTGTTCGGTAACATTATTGGCTGAATCTGCATGAAATACGTGTTCCTGAGCCCTTTCGTGCATTTAGGATAACTATCCGACTTGGATATTTTCTGCAGGACCAGCTGGACTTTCTTCCCTTTGGCTCCCCGGCCACTGCCCAGCCTTCATGGTCTTCAGCTCTGCTTCCCACACGTTTCTCCTGGGCAGTGGGAAGGAACCAATGGGCAGCGTGGGAGCACAGCTGTTACTGATTGCAGAGGGTGCGAGGGCCCAGCACACCTGGAGCACATCGTGGCCCTGGCAGCTGGAGGCCCATACCAGTGCCCAGCATGCCATCTTCTCAGCTCAATTTCCTTTCCCTCCAGGAACCCATGGTCCGGGCCAGTATGGGTGGCCTTTGGAAAGAAGGCAGTGCCATGGCCTGTGCCACTTCCCCACCTACTCCATTCTGTACACTCCAGCAACCAGTGATCTTGGAGGGCATGAGAGAAATCCAAAAAGTGCAGCCCAAAGCCAGTCCTGGTGGGTCACAGCTGTTATCCCAGCATTGAGGAAGGCTGAGGCAGGAGGATTGCAAGATCAAGCCCAACCTGGGAAAAGTGGCAAGACCCTGTCTCAAAATGTAAAGTAATAATAATAAAAAAGCTCTGAGAATATAACTCACCGAGAAGATTCAATACCTAATACCATGATAAGAAAGAAGGAAAGAAAGAAAGAAAGAAAGAAAGAAAGAAAGAAAGAAAGAAAAGCAATAGTCTAAATAGGACCCCTGGTATCAATGCAGAGACAGCCAAGGTCCTGTCTGTTCTGTGCCTCTGCTAGGGAGTGAGGAGCTTCCTACACTACTCAGCAAACTGTCAGGTGCCCACTTGCCATCCTGGGGTGGCAGCTGAAGGCATGGACATGAAGCCAGCAGGTCGTATCTGACCATGGCTCCATCACCTTTCTCCCTGGTCCTTTCCTGCCTACCACTCAGGTGGCAACATCTGCATGTGCCTGGCTCACCCACCAAGGATTCTACCTGCATAACCACTACAGCTCAGCAAATTCTCCTCCTAGAACCTGTGACTCATTTATTACTCTTTTTCAAGTTCCATTCTCTCTTGAGTTAATACACCAGATTAGTTCCTGCTAAAGTGTTAATGACTAACCTATTTTCCCATCCTTCCTGCCCTCTGTTCCCCTACCTCCAGG